AGTGAAGTATAGGAGTTTCCATCTAACTACACATGTCAACATTTCCATTATTATGTACTTAAAATACTAAATAATACTATAATTTATTTTCAAGAATGTTGATGAAAAATTTCAATTATTGTTATTTGAGGAAATACATGGGCTTCAAGATGTCTTACATGACATCAATAGGCTAGCAAACAATTTTGATAATTTTTGATTATTCAGTTGAAAATTAAACATTCTAAAAACTATAACTTCTAAGAAAAATAATACTATGAATTAGAACAATGAGCAAGAACAATATCTTATGTATGTTATTTAGTCACAACGTAAAAATAGAATTGAACAAAGAAAGTCCAATTAGATGGTCAAGGCCATTAACTGAAAATTTAAAGATAAATACTGTTAGGTTCTATTTCCTAACTTTAACCTTTCTTCGTAATTATGATTTAAGTATACCACACACAATCAGTATAAAATTGGATTTTTTCTCTATAATTTTTAATTTCTTTTATAGGTGAGTTTAATTCATCTATACTCTGGTCCCCAAAATATGTATATTTATTTTTAGCATCTTATTTACTGTTGGCATTCACTATGTGTTTTCTCCTTTCTTTCTTTATTTTTGCTCCTTTTCAGCCCTTAAAATTTTTATTTTGAACTTATACATTCAACTTTTACATTTGTCTTAACATTTTAACTGGAACATTTGAGTCATTAAAATTTAGTGCAAATAACATTACTATTGTTTTCCTGAATAGTATGTGGAAACTGGAAAATTCTCAGTTGAGACCTTTCCATGCGTGTGTGCATAGTTGCAAGCATTTTAAAGAGCCAGTTCTTATTTTTGGCAGTTTATTCAATGAGGGTAGTGGGTACTCTCTTATACAATTGTCTGAAAATCTTTTAAGTGTTGTTTTCTTGTGTAATAAATGTGCAACTTTTTTAAAATATATTTTTTTAGTTGTAAATGGACAAAATATCTTTATTTATTTATTTGTATGTGGTGCTGAGGATCAAAGCCAGTAACTCAAATGTGCAAGGCAGGAGCTCTACCACTGAGCTACAGCACCATCAACTTCTTACTCTGTCCTCCAATGGGTCTTAACAGTTCTTTTACATAATCATTTTTTTTTGTTGTTTTTCTTCCCTGTATTGTAGGAAATTTCCTGAGATCTACATTCCAGTTAACTAATTTTCCCTTCAGCTTTATCTATAGCTATGTCTGATTTTTAGTCTGTCATTACATTTTAAATTTGTCATCATGCTTAATTTCTAGACTTTCATTTGATTTTCCCTCAAATGTGTCTGTTCTTTTAACAATATTCTCTTCTATCACTGTATTTATATTACATTTAAAACATAGTCTGTCTTTTCATTTTTACTTTGTATAGGGTCTTGATCAGATTGCTATGAGTATGTTCTTAAAATGCTAACTGTATATTTCAGACTCTCCTTTACAGTGAACTGTTTTCTTGGATGATTTGAAACTTAGTATTATAAGTTTATTTTCAGGGGTGAGCTATTTTTGTCATAGACCAATGCACTTCAATTGTACAAGGGACCCAGATGAGTGGCTTGCTGTTCTGCTAGTGCCCCAGAAGTTTTACTCAACACATTAATTACACATCTTTTGTTTTTGCTGCCTGTACTATATCCACACCAGAGCATGCCAGAGCTGGGTGTACTAATGTGGTTTTACTATAGGTTTTATTTAAGTGAAGACTTTGTTTTCCTCTGACCTACCATGAATTTTCCTGAGGTTTCCTTGGGCTGGTGGGTGAAAATATCCTAGTCATTTTTCATGGTGAGGCAGCTATTTATGAATTCAGTTTTATTCAATGTTCTTGTTTTCAAGTCTCAGATCTTTGCTTTCACAAGGCCAGGGCTTCTGCCTCTCTGCCCAAACTAAACCCCTAACTCCTGGCCCTGAGACCTACCTACTCCCATGTCTACTGCTCCTGTTGGCTATCCTGCTGGCCCACACTTACCTCTCCCTTTGAATAGCAACTGCATTTCTGGAACTTGAGGATTTCCCTCCCTCCCTTTCTATGTATGTGTTTTATCCAATATTTCCACTATTTTGAACCGAAGTTATTTGTATTAAGGTAAGTGGTTAAGGAAGAAGTGTGTCTGAATTTGTTGTTTTGAATAAAATAATAAACATTGACAATCACATTTTCTCTATATTTCACATTGTATTACCAATTTAGCTTTTTAAAAAAATTGCTATACACTACCACCCATATCGAGGTAACTTAGTCCCACTCACATCCACTATAAACTATGATTACTCTTATCCAACAGTATACCTACATTTATATCAGAATTTTACATATATATATTGAGTAGATTCAGAGATTATATTTTATACCTGGCTCAATGGTAACTAGGCTAGTTTTATTTTGAGCTCTATTGCAGTATTGCTGCAATACATTAAGACACTAACTCTCCAAAAGTAAAATATTAAATGATAATTTCTAATTGGTAATGAAAATTTTCTGCCTGTTTTTTCTACTTTTGTTCTTTTTCCTACTATAAACCTCATCCCTCTTGTAAACCATGTAGTTTCATTGTTAAGAAAGTCTTTTGTTTTCCAAAGTAAAGGTCCCAAGTAATATTATTTCTTTGAAAGACTTTGGCCAGAAACACCAAGCTTATTGGTAAACAGAAACTATAGCTTTCACTGTAAAATACTGTAATTACACAGCACAGCAATATCTCTGTGGTTTTTATCACTGAGGAAATCAATAGTAGAATAGACTACAATTCTCTGTTGGACAACAGTAGATATAAGAGGGTAGATGAAAGGGTTTATTGACTTAGTAGGAGTGCTACGATAGCAAATCAGAGCTGCCCAAGGAAACAGCTTTTTAACTGAATGATTTTAATCCAAACATCAAAATGTTTCAGTCTAACAAAAGACTTGATAAAAATTAAACAAAACAAACAAACAAACCCCAAACCCCTCTTGTAGTCTCATGTCTTTTCCCTATTTACACACAAACTCCAGACAATAATTATTGGCAAATATCCAGTCACAAGAAAAAATTCTTTGACTGTGAATAAGGAATGATCTAGATGTTAAAGAGTTCCATGCCATGAAAGCCTTAGTTTGATTATTTCATATTTGTGTTTGACCAACTTAGTCCCACTCACATCCACCATGAACTATAAATTATCCAACAGTATACCTACATTTACATCAGAATTATATGCATATATACTTGAGTAGATTCAGAGATTATATTTTATACCTGGTTCAATGGTAACTAGGCTAGTTTTATTTTGAGATTTACTGCAGTATTGCTGATGAACTATTTATTAATACATTAAGACACTAATTCTCCAAAAGTAAAATATTAAATGATAATTTTTTCTACTTTTGTTCTTTTTCATAATTTAGAAAGACTCATTTTGTATAACTAAGAAATGATCCAATGTTCCAACTTGTAGCATTGCAATCATTGTTAAATAGGTTGTTGTGAGGATTATTAAATATGGATAGTAGAAACAATAGATATTAAAGCCTTCAAGGTTGAAATATTAAATTGAGAAAGGAAAAAAATGTGTAAGAGGGAAACAGTAAAAGTCTAAATATTGCTACTTTTCAACTACATAAAACAGTTTGTTCTATAGTAAAGGAGGAATCCCACATCATAAAATTGTTAAACAAAATAACTTGTGCATATTATGTTGTTATTTTATTTCTCAATTTAAACTCCAGCATAGGGGAGGAACCCTGTATCTCTGGATAAATGGTTGGTAAAACAGCTGTATTCTTCTCATTCTAGCATTTCTGATACAAACTTAGTGAGAAGCACAGTAGCAGGTCCCAATCATAATCAGAGGCTATACGCTGCACTCAGCAGCCTGTTCTCAAAGAATGCAATGTGTGGGGAACATAAAAATAGAGGCCGATTGAATTTTTACTGTGTGAGCAGCATAATTATTTATTTGCATTTTAAGTGAGATTTCCTTTTAAAGTTCCTTGAGTGTATAGATTCTGAAAGGTAAACAGAATTTCATATGTGTGGCGAAAACAAAATACTTTTCCTAAATAATAAATACAAATTGCTCTACACAAATACATTTGATTGCTTGAATTCTGCAAGCAATCTGTAATGCATTATAAGAAATGTCAACATTTGGCCACCATTAGTTCAGATCCAAATGCAACACTTTGATCCAATCATCTGAACAGGTGCAATTTCAGTACAATTCTTAGCACTTTCATTCATGGTCACAAAAAAGATGGTAAACTGTGAACAGCTAAGGGCTCTCAGTAAAGGGGTAAGAGTATATAAGTATGGAAATCAAATTACCATGTCATTAAGAAAATCTAAATACAAAAAACATCTAAGAAACAAAGACATGAAAATGGAGGTTATGAAGTTTATATTACCCACTGTGCCACTCTTATGCATTCATTTTTAAAATTTATTTTATTAACATTATGTATTTTAAATATATTAAATCATACCCACATTATAATTTCTCACACAACCTCAATACTTTAAGAAATTGTGAGATATCCTTACTAAACAGATATTATGAATTGGTAAATCTACCTGCAGAAACGTTCACAATCCTTATATATTTTACACTTCATAGACATTGGCTTGGTGCATGGGTTATGAATAAATTGCTCACTTTTTGGAAGTCATGTCTTGATTCTATGAGGAGTTTAGGGTGCCCTTTTGTGCATGCTAATAAAACTGAGTAATGGTTCCTTGGTGTGGAAAGAATGACAGCCCCTGCACGGAAATGACTAACTCACTCCTTGCTCGTGGAAAGCAATGCTGCGTGTCATTTGTTCACTAGACATAGTTATTATTCATTCTGGTTCCTAGGAGATTAGCTTTTTCCAATTTTAAGAGAGAACTAGGATATTGCTACCTTATTGCATTTTTTATTGTTGTTCCAAGAGTTCTTAATTTCTAATATTTCCTTCAAAGATATCCAAATGGTTTAATCCCAGGCCCCTTAGTGTCTGTACTTTGCTCAAATCCACTTACTCTGCATGCAAAGCCCATCGGTGCAGTTCTTCGATTGCAAGACCAGGCCGTCGCAGTCCTTGCCCCCATTCTTAGGGGCTGGTGCTGTGCACTCCCTCCTGCGCCAGTGGGTACATTCAGTCCCACAAGTAGACCATTTGCTCCATGAGGTCCATCTGCCATCCACTGCCATAAGAAAACCAGCATCAGGTCAGAGGGAGAAGCAGCTACTCAAAGGGCCAAGGGGGCAGAGTTTGAGTATAACATAACAAAACACAAAATGGAGGAAAATACCCCACTGAGAAGTATTACATTAATTTCAAGCACCAGAAAGTTTATCTGATGTACTGTACACAGTCTGAGTTCTGTGAATAGTTTTGAATGTCATATGACTGTTTTCTCACTGAGGAGCCAAGGAAGGCCCACTGGGGCACATAGAAACCAAAGTTGTCACCAGGAACTGCGTAAATGCATGCTATAGTGCCACCCTTTTTTCTACTTGGGGGAGCTTCTGGATTTTGTATGGAGAATTAGGGTTCTCTTTTTGGATCCAAATTTCTCTCATTCATAGTAACATGTGAACAATGAAAGCAAACTTACGTGCAAGTTGGAAAAAAAGATTGGTATAGTAGGGAAGAAATCCATTCATTCATTTATTCATCTCTCATTCTTGCTCTGTCACTCCATCTGTCCATTCATCCATCCGTCCATCCATCCATCCAAATAATCAGTTCACCTCCATCTATATTTTATATACTTGTAATTTTTCCTTTTTTTTTTATTCAGACTGCATGATTTAGCTGAAATCTTCTGCCAATGCCTTCTTTAAAAGGCTATTATTTGATGATTCCATTATTTGATGATGTATCCTTTTTTTTGTCTGGTAGAGTATTGCATTTCAGACACATGTTCTCACTGAGTTGCTTAGCAAGTCGCTTTTGCTGAGGCTGGCTTTGAACTAGTGATCCTCCTGCCTCAGCCTGCTAAGCTACTGGGATCCATTTCTATTTATTTAAAAAATAATATTTAGCTAAGTTTCTAATTTTTGCCATGATTGCATTATTTAGAATTGGCTCACTTTCTTCCTAATTTTGGTGGCTGACTTGTGATCAATTTCAATGATAATGAACTAAGATATCTCTTTTAAAAACATTCTACTTAAGTCCCAATTTGAAAAAATACATAATAAATTTAACTGGCTTACTTTAAAATGAATCTTTTAGTTTTTTCACAGAAATAGGTTAAAAATATTGTACTACAAGTTTTAAAAGGTTTGATTTTTTAGTGAAACACATGTTAATTAAGATTAGCTAGGTTTCTATGTATAATACTATCAAACATTATTTACTGAACATCTAAACCTCTAAAATCTGGATATTGATAAAAAGTTATAAAAATGTTAATAGTTTACATAGTTTGGGACATCTATATGATTCCATGGTCTAATAACTATGTAAATATACATACTGTGCATAAAGATATAAACACACTTGCAGGAAAAAAATGAGGATAGCATTATTATTTCTACCATACAGAGTTAGCTACAAAAGCAACTCCCACCATCTGAAGCAAAGACACTTGCTTTGACCTAGAACATCCTGGTGTACTGAAACACACACACACACACATACACAACATGCCACACACACTTCTATTTTAACTCAAATTGATCTGTGCATTTTTAATTGCGAGAGTCAGCACCTAGAAAAATATAGGAGAGTGCAAGATAAAATTTGAAATTCTAAGTCTAGCTGAGTGTCAAAATTTGTTCCATAAATAAAAGCTCTCAAAGGTTTCAGTGTGGAAAACTATTTTGATAGTTGGAAATCGATGCATGAGAATGTAACATATAGATTTTATTTTTCACTCCTGTTTATTTCTCCATCCCGTTTTTGACAAATGTTCTATTAAGTATGGACAAAACAAAATTAGGTAAAGAGAAGTAAAGAGGTTATGTATCTAAATAATAAAATTGTCAACAAAATAACTACCCCAATGAAAATATTAAATTTATTGATTATTTCAAAATAATTGTAGCTTAACTTTGGGATACATTGTATAATGAGGCATTTTAATATATTTTGGTTTTGGCAAATAGTAACTTCAGTTTGCCTATGTGTATTAGCAATATGAAATAGTATTAAAAATGCTAACAGGCAGAGGGATGCAATTTTGCTTCAGGTACCACTGAAAATAACTCACAAAACAGATGACCAATATGTACAGATAAAAAAGAGCTGACTGCATTGTATTTTCAAAATCCATTAACTTATAAGTCACAAAGCCTTGACTTCCTTTTAATTCATTCCAAATATTTTATTTGCCTTTGCCCAAAAACTGACACCTTGTGCAGAAAAGAAAAACATTTCAATAAAATGTATTTTCTAAACTGCAATTTCAACTCATTTCCATGGTTTTCTGAAGACCAAGGGTTGTTATTTTTAAAATGTGTGGTTTTTCAATTCTCTTTAAATTCCTTGAATTTTAGAGCCTACAATCTTGGCTCTAGAAGTTTCATTGATATAAAGAGATTACGTTCACATGTTTCATTTCCTGTTTTCTAATATTTTATATGTTGAGATAGCAAAGTTATTCTTTTTGAGGAAGGTACTTGTTTTCTCAGTAATATAAATAATGAATACAGAATAGATTTAAACAATGTTTATCACAGATTTAGTTCAAAAGTAAGGCCTTTGTATTCATTTCTAAAACTCTTTCTAGAATTATGGAGACAATTGGAATAAAAGGACTTGTTTGTTTACCTGGGCACAGTGTAGTACAGGCTATTTTCTGCACGCTCTGCCCCTCACAGAAGGCCCCGCCATTGAGTGGTGCTGGGTTGGTGCAGGTCCTTGTGCGTTTCTGATACCCTCGTCCACAGCGGCTATTACACACAGACCACTCTGTCCAGGTGGACCAGCCACCATTAACTGAAAAGAGGCAACAGTAAAAAATGGATTAAATGTGTTATGTACACACAGACACACAAACCACACACAACACACAAATAGAAAGTCATCTCCCAGTGACCATTGAAAAAAATCTAAATTTCAAAGCTAGAAGAGGGATTCTGGGCATCATTTCAAAGTTTTATTGCATAATTGAAGAATCTAAACAAAGGGATACACAAAATTATTTACCATAATTTACTTATACAGAAAAATAAATTATAATGTGCTCAGTTTTCCTTGGCTAATATTCTCTAAAAGTAAAATCTGTCCCCTTACCTAGTTGAGCTCCCAAAATTACTTTTGATAGTTTATCTCAAATAATAAATGTTTACATGTTTATGCGATGCCACAAGTGGATTTGTAAGATGGGAACTAAAATAAAAATCACTTAGCCTTTTGAAAGAAAAGGAACAGATGATTGGTTATTTTTCTTTAGCACTTGCAAACTTTATAAGCTCTTAAGAAATTTTAGTTTCACAAATTAAAAAGTAAACTTAGTTAAAAAATAAAATCTCATAGTGTTGGAGTTCTAAATTGACCAGCAATTTGAGTGAATTGGCAATTAGTTTACATAATTGAAATGGACTGGAGCTGTCAGTACATGTACGATTATAAAACCTACACCCTAACACTCCAGAGACTATTCACCTTCAGAGATCTCCTCCTAGAGAATACTTATAGTTTATGAGTATTTTGATAATGTGAGTTCACATAATTACTATGCCAAAGCAATTTCTAAGGAAAATTATTTGCTGTAGTTCAAATATGGTACAACTAGTATATACATTTGTCTTCTGATAGTAAAAAAGTGTATTAGCCATTGAAGTAATACAAACCATATATGTGTATCATTTGTTCAACTTCTTATTTGCTAGAAACCCATCCAATTGGGAATAAGCATGAGTTTGTTTACAAACAAAAGTTTTTTTTTTCTTTCACAGCAGAGCTTTTTTAATATATAAAATAAAAAATTAAAACACTTGTAATGTTCAAAAACAGAAAGTGATAATATAAACTATACTATATTAGCTTGTGTGATAAGACTCCTGGGCAGCTATTAAAAATGATGCTGAAGAAGGCTATTCATATATTAAAGTATATGAATATTGCGATGTTATGTTTTAAGTAAAGATAATACATGTATATCCCTTATTTTAAAATCCAATACATGCATAGGAAATATCAGTGGTAAAATATATATATGTATATATATATACATATATATAATTTTTTTTAAAAAAGTGTTTGTAGATGATAAGATGACAGGATTATAATTATTTTCCTCTTTGACCTTTTCTATGTTTTTTGAATTTCTTCTACTGGCTATATATTCGTAATCTAAAAATTGTACTAATAAAAATAGAACAGACTCAAAATAAGAAATACTGGTTAGATGTATGTTTTTCTATGGCCTTCTAGTGATCCCAGCCTATGAGCCTTGGACAACCTATTTCATGAAGCCATGAAAAGGATAAGTGTTCTAACGAGCAATTGAACCTGCTCAACTTAGCAACACTTCCCATGCCATGGAATTGTCTGTATAAAAGGCTTACTGGCCTATTGTCAAGCTATTGTTTAGGGCTGTAGGATACATGTACTACTCTACTCAAATTTTAATGAGAAATAAATAATCAGAAACTTTTAGAGACAGAAACATCTTTGCAAATCCAAGATTCTATCCTTCATTTTACAGAAAAGGAGACAAGGGCTCAGAGAATCTTGGTTTAAAAAGGACAGTTAGTAGAGGATCTAGTCCTAGAATACATGATCCCTGACCTTAGTTCTGACCTTATCTCAAAATGCTTAAGTTACTAATGTTTGTTCCTTCCTAAGACAATGTAATCATTACATTTATAGATATTGAAAGGATGTATGCATAGGAAGAGATTTGCATGTGTGTTAAATATCTATATAATACATCTATATATAGTCTGCCTTCATTAGTTATTTATGATTGGTACATGCAGTGATTGGACCCCATTTCTACTTTGCATTTCAAATGCTGTTAATCAAGTCTTTCAGGCAGCTTAGACAAAGATAAAAACTAGGAAACATTTTATTGTGATTTAAGAAACACAACTGCTTATGATTCAACATAGTCGTTTTCTGGACGAGGAAATTAAACCTCAGAGTAATCAGAGGATTAAAAAAATTGTATGCATCTGTCCTGTAATTAAAGTGACAGTTTTAAAGCATCACTACATTCAGCCTTTGGAACATCATAATGTTTCTGTTCTCATAACTCCTTACATCATAACCACACATCCACTGGGATGGCAGGAGAGGCAAAATTTTAATCTCAATATTTCTAGGTTTGTTTATTCATCTGGACCTGATTAAACTAAATAAGAGATAAAAACAGGAGGAAAGCATATAAATTTATTTAATACAATATATAAGAAATTTCGTAAAGAAATGAATACCCTAAAATGGCATTAGAATTAAATATTGTAGGCTGAATTGGACAAAGAGTGTTAAGTTTTGAAAAGGTAACAAAATTATGTGGTGAGGTTAAAGGATTTAGTGTTATTTTAATAAGATCAGTATAGACTTATCTCAGTCTCCAATTCCTATTTTTTAATGGTAAGGATGTTATTTCCCTTATAGGATATGGAAAACAGCTTTCATATGAGAATTTAATTTCCTGATTTTAAGAAAAAGAAGGAAGGTTAGAGTGATCTTTCTGTACATGCTGTTTTTCAAGTGTCTTTAATTCAAAAAAAGGGTTAATAATCCAGAATGGCATATTTTGAGGTGCTATATTCTTAACTACTTGAGCACTACCTGCAGTAAGTACCATGAACCATATACATGCCAGTGACTGTCCCTCTTTCAGTCCCTCAGACACCAAGTCCCCGGATATCATTTACCATGGAGGCAGGGATGCAATCTTTGTTATGCTCTGAGTGGTGTTGAGACCTGGGCATGTCATGCAAGAGGGAGCACCACCTCAAAATATTTCCCAGGGATGTGCAATTTTCTCTGGGACAATAAATCCACAATGCTATGAAGACTTATTGTAAGTCTAACATGGTGAGAAATATGTAAATACACATCCCAGTCTCACTGTCTACAAAAAAAGCTAAAAGCTTAGCAGGGGAGTTAAAACCACTTGAGAAATGACTAGAAGACAACCGAGAGCTAAACTGCACATGGAGATAAAAGCAGATATGCCACATTAAAATGTAGTGTGAAATTGGTTGGTACTTGAGGAGAAATGATAGGTTTAGAGATGAGCTGGATTAGAGTGGGGAAAAGCTTCCTGAAAACGTCCTCATGTGAGACTTTGCCAAGTCGTGAGAATGAGTGTCACTCGATCGTGGCTGCCTTTATCTCTGTGCCTCTATGGAGGGAGCAAAGCAAGTTCTATGGATGTCAAGTTGTTCTGTGATGTTTGGGAAACAGGTTAGCTCCAGTTTTCTTGAGGTTTCACAATCACAGGGCTGAGCTAGGACCACAGATGCATCAGTGGGCTGCTTAAACACCTCCACCTCTAGACTCAATCCAGACCTGGGTGGTGCAGGTCATGGACAGGTGAAAGCTTAGGGAAGCAGTGTGCCCTCATAGACATCCTTTACTGGTCTATGAACTGACTGACAAAGGACTAGCAATGGCCAAGCCTAGTTCTTCTTAAGAGGATCAGGGAAGCAGCTGTGGGAGACAGGACTGAATGGCAATAGGGACTGAGAAGTGTCCTTGACTCGAGACTCTAAAATAACAATGAGAAACTGCAGTTTGACATGATCTAGGTTGAGAACACCCAAATATGACACTCACCATAGACTATGACAGTAGCGGTTGTGCTTTTCCTCTTGGCAACAATGTTTTTGGCGACACAGGTATAATTTGCAGTATCTGAGAGGCGGGCCTGCTTTATGATTAGGTTGTGATCGATTGTGATATAAAAGTTTCGATCTTCAACAGGATCAATTATGTCTTCATTTTTCAACCATTCCACCTAAAGATGCAGACAAACAAACAAACACAAAAACAAAAACAAAAAAACCCAAACAGATAAATCCCCAGTGTGGATCCCTCGATGGCTGCCTATCTCCATTTGTATTTATATGTACAACATTGTTCCATGCTATGAACTTCTGCAAACCAGGGGGAAGTAACTTTCTGAGGTCATGTTAAGTATCACTCACCTGCCAAACATGCTGATTCTGTCTGTACTACATTATTCTCAAATGTCAATGAACCAATTGGGAAATACAGTGTTCAAATTGTTTTCACTTTGCCCTGCAGGCAGGAACCTGGAATGTGCACTGCCAAGTTCAGAGCCCAATCAAAAATAATAGGCTAAGCATTTCCAACTGAACTCAAACCTTTTGCTATTTGATTTGTTTACTCTTGGCAAACTTACCTGCTGCTTTTCAGAAAAGAATATAAGGACTATAAAAAAGGCATTTTCGACATTATGTAGCTCTAACAAAATAACATTTGGATGATTTACGTGTAGCCTCACTGCAACATATGGATTAAATTTCCCTGAAAATGCTCAGACTTTAAAATGTAGCAAAAACACATATTTGGTGATGTATATAAGCCAAAATATTTGGGAAAAAAGATTTTTCTACCAATCCTCAATATAATCAAAATAGCTCATAAGTCATACTCTGATTTCTCTTTTTCTACCTGTACTATTCAAATCTTTCACTCATGGTTTGCTTTTGGGGAACCTGACCTAAGACATGACTGTACAGAACTATTGAACTATTGTTTTTCTATGCAAATGATATCAATTTAGCAGCAGTGATGTTATCCTTGCTGAATAAAAGGAGGGAAGTAAACCTGTACAGGCTGTCCTTCCTGATGGTAAACTATATCATATTCTGGCTTTTTAAACGATGCATAGGTTTTTCCATAAAGCAAAAAACAACCTTGATATTTACCACACTTAAAGTTTCCTTTTGCATTAGAGTGGATGTGGATACAAGCAACCTTTAGTGGTAGGGAGTCAATATTGTTGCCATTTTCAAAATCTTAAAGAGCTTCTCTGGCACTGCAAGAGGTCTAAAAATTAATCTCTAAATCTGTCAGTGGGCTTGACACAGCACAGTTCTAAGTTATGTCTAATGCAGGGAGTCTCAAATAATGCTCCTCTAATCCTTACAAAAGGGGCCAACATTTTAAAGGGGAAAACAAAAGCCAATCACAATCCTGAAATGTAGGAGCGATGGGGATGCAGATTAGAGCAACTATTTGTAATAATGTAAATTTTGGAATAGTTAAACACTCTTGACATTTGTTCTAATGGTAGTGAGAAAGAGAATGGAATCCATATAAAACAGGAGATTTTTAAAGTGTGTGTTTTGTTTTCAAATATAGAATATACTCAGCTAGGAGCATGCTTGGATGTATCCGATATACATGCTCATACTCCCTGGACCTGGGTGGATTTTCTCAGAGTTTGGTTCAAGTACAATATTATGATCTTGATGGAAATACACAGGAGAAAGTAGCAAAATGGATCCAGTCTGAAATCTCCTTGAAGACAGTTGAAAGTAGACATTCATATATTTTGAATCTAGTCTTTAACTGGGTTATCTCTGCTACTATCCTTTCTATTTATAGAAGGCATTCTTGGGTTCCATTTCTATTGGTCTTGGATCCCTACTTTTTGTGTTAATATGCTTATTTCTCAAGGATCCATATCTCCTGTTCTTTGAGGGATATCCCTCAGACTCATGAACTCTCAGGCACTTGGAGAGTTCACAACTTCTCCCCACAGGTTTTCTGCTAACCATTGAGCAATGGGGGCAGAAATATGCCTACTGTCCAACTGGGTCAGAACTGAGTTGAAACTCCTCAGAGTTTGGTCAGTCGAAATGTTGTGACCGTGAGACCTTGACTGAATTTACCCTAGACATCTTCGCCTTTTATCTCCCACTTGCTCTGCTCATTTCATGAGCTCTACTGGGAGTACTTTCTTAAAAATCTACTTGCAGTTAAATGTTTGGCTCTTGGTTTTCTTCTGGAGAACTTAACTAAGTCATGGTTGTCCAAAACTCTGGTTTCTCTATGTAAATTGACATCAGTTTAACAACAGTTAAGTTATCCTAATCACAACTGACAAAAAGAAATCTCAAGGGATATTGATTGCATACTTGTTTATTGGAAGGGTTTATTACATGGAAGAAAGAGTTCAATATGCATGGTTGACAAAAGATTTAAAGAAACATACGTACTTTCTGGGTATATGATCTTTATGTTATCATACATAATGCCACATTTTACTTGGTTGTTTCTCACCAATTTTGGATCAGTGATTTTGTCCTGAGCCTCTGGAACCCCTAAAAGTCCCCCATCCCCTGCAATGCTGTGGAGGCTCCAGGGTCCTGTGCAGGGCACTGTTCTCCTCCGTAATGACCTCTTTAATTCAGAAGCTGTGCTTTTATCTTTTCCATATTTGGTTGGCTTACATACCTTCATTGGAAGAAACAGAGGGTTCTAAAGCTAGGAAATAGCCATAAGAATAAAGGGAGAGCTAAGGGTTCTTCCCCAGCTTCTGGCAAGTTCCCTCAGTTCCCCACAGTGCTCTGTACCACCAACTGTGCCATGGTCCTCTGCTTTGAGAACATCACCTCCAGGGGAGGCTCGGTTCAGGGCTGCAGGTCATCCCTTACCTCCTGCACTATATGATCCTTGGTTGTGCTACACATCTCCATTGCTCCAAATCTTGAAACCCTTCCATGCTGGCTTGATATCCGGCAGCAAAACCTCCCAAGTTTCAACCTCATTTTAGATTGTTTACTTCACCTTTTTCCTACTTAAGCCCAGCTCCTTTTGGATATTTCTTTTGGAGTCCTCTCAAGTGGTAGATGTTTGATTTCCAAAGTCCAACTAACCTGGGCCTGGCCATCAGGTAAGTGTCCTTGTTCCACACTGTCTATTTCAGTTCATTCTTTTTTGCTCCGAATCTCATGATGAAAAGCAGAACTTTTTTAGGATTAAGGGATTAAAGTCTCTCAGGGCAGGATGAGACAGGCAGCCTAGCTCTCAGTCTTATGTTATTAGTAGCCATCTAGGAAAACTAGGAGTTAAAAAGTGAGCTTGTCTTCAGGGCCATGAACAAGCCAGGAGACAGGAGGCTGAGAAGTCAGCTCAGCCCTCTGAGATTATGTAGTCAGCAGAAATGCCGAGAAGCTGGAGCCAGACAAAGCAAAATCACCACGTCAAGGCCCCTGAGACAGAACAACCGTCTGCCTGGTTCTGAAATAACGTTAGGAATTTTCTCAGATGATAAGGAGCAGCTCCAGGTGGTGAGAGACAAATTCATGTAAAGAATAGTCACTAAAGAAACTCAAGGTCACCTTTACCTTATTAGCATAGTAAAATATACAGCTCTAGGTGGAGATTTAAGAGGGTAATGAGACAGGGGACTCATGAATTAGCCTAAGAAGAAGATACATGCACAACCAAACCCCCACCTCTACATGTGATGACATCACAAAACTGGGTTCCTACCTGCCCCATAAATGCCCATAAAAGCTACATATCTTTGTCCTTTGCTTGTACCTGCCTACAACTCTGGGTCAGTGTCTTTTCCCTTCTCATTCATGCAGAACCCCTCCCCCAACAGTCTTGTTACACTGTGCCTCTGCCTGATTCTTCCAGTAGGGAGCACACAACCCAAGAGCCAGTGACAATGCCCTCAGATATCACCTAATATCTGTGTTTTTTCCTATAGTCATCTACAGACTTCTGGGCTTATAGTTACTCCATCCAACAAAATTTCTGATTACTTTAACACCCTCAAAGATGACACTTTTAATGTCGTGGCCCTTCAGTTTCATGTCCCTTTCTCCCAGAACAATCTTGGCTATGAAGATCACACATTCTAGGCCAGAGGTTTTCAACCCTGGTTTTATGACAGAAAAACTTAGAGAGCATTTGTAATGTGTAAGTTCTAAACTCAATCCAGAGAAACTTCTGACCCATAGAAATTCTGATTCTCTAATCTGAAGAGGTCTAAAGTCAGTATTTTTAAATTTCCCCAGGGGGTGGTAATTTACCGCTAGATTATTGTCTTTCAAAGTGAGATCCCTGGACCAACACCCTGGGAGCTTGACAGAAATTGCAGAACTCAGACTCTGCCCACCTAGACTTACTGATACAAAATGTGCTCCCTAACAAGAATTTTGGTTGATTTATATACCCATTAAAGGTTGAGACATATTGGTTTGGCTCTTGTCCTTACCATTAATTACGAGCTCTCTGAAAATTCAATTTCAAACATGCCTTTTAACGTTTTCTGTCTTTCCTGCTCACTTTCCGTAGGATCTCTTGCTTAACAATCCTTCACCAAAACTTAAAAAAGCTACTTCACTTACCAATTTCATTTCTTACTCTCCTTTAGCTACCTATTCCTTTTTCCTTAAGCATAAATTCAATGTCTAATTTTATAAATAATCCTTACATTATATCCTCAGCTCACTCATCCTTCTTCTCTTACTTCTGGGAACTCACTGGTCACTATTCCCCTCTACCACCTCTGAATCCTTGAAGTGGAACATGGCTAGAAACAGCCATATTGGATGCTCTCATCCAAAATTCATGAAAACAGAACACAAGTGGGCTTTGGATTCTGCCAAAAAGTCATACTATATTTTCATCATCTGCTCACTCTCCCATTCTCCTAGACAAATGTTTCACACTTTGTCCTCTCTCCTCAAACACTACCTCCCCCTCGCTCCTCACTTTCAGCTGATGACCAACACGAATACATAACCGAGAAAACTGACAATCAGTTGAGATCTTCCAAAGCCCCCATCTTCTGCCTACCCACCCCTATTCTGCACCCTCTCCCTCAGCACTAGGAGAGCTCTCTGGGATCCTGTATGTCACCTCTGTGTTCCAATCTCAGGCTTCTATTCAAGGACAAGTCCCAGCAATTTCCTTTCTTCTAAATTGTTCAATTTTGCCTCAATTCAGAATAATTTTCATAAGCATCCT